GGCGGGCAGCTGAGCCACCTGGACGTTGTCGTTGACGGTGGCCGACCCGTTGAGCTACGGGGGCACCAAGCGCCAGGGCGTCACCCAGGAGCGTGGGCAGCGTCCCTCCCTGCACCGGGCCTCCATTTCCCTATCTGAGGCTGCCCTGTGCTTCTGGTACCTTGCGGTGCAGGACCCCACCCCGAGCCTCAGTTTCCCCACCCGCAAAGTGGGAGCTCCAGGTGAGGTTGGGGCTGTCCTTAAGTGTGATGAACAGGAGGATTTTGATAAAACACTATGGGCAACGCAATGAAAGCAAATCACGCCTCCCAAACCTTGCCAGGAAATAGCATTTTGCGGGAGGGGGTATAGCTCAGTGGCGCCGCTCTAAGGTCCTGGGTTCAGTCCCTGGTTTCCTACCGCGGGAGGGGCAAATTTTTTTTTGCAAGGGGACGTCAGCACAGGGCAGAATTGCTGCTTCGGTCTTCTGCCTGCCTTAATAAAGGTGAAATTTTTAGCCCGTTTCCCAAACACTGGCACAGAGTCTGCTCCCCGCAAAAAAAATATATATATATACACATATTTCAGCGGTTTGTGGAACTCATAAGTGTCTGGAAGCTAATGGCCACCTCTTGCAATTGCACAGGCCAAAGGTAACATATCAATTGCATGATGTCTCAATAAATTTAGTATTAAAATACTTATACAAGTTTTCCTTTGCCTGATGTGTACATTTTTTTGACAGACTCTGTAACAACGGTTTGTTAGCATGTGTGGTGTCACGTGCCTATCATCCCATCCTCCCCCGGAGCCAGCCTGAACTACAAAAGAGACTTTGTCTCAAACAAAAAAAGAAGGACAAGAAGACAATGTTTGTTGATTGACTTCTGGGAGCTTTCCTACAATATCATCTCATTTAATTCCTCAACAGCCATCCAGAGAAGGGTAAGTTCTTCTCTGAACTTCAGAAATTCAGAGAGAGGATGAGCTACCGTGCTACCATTGCATCTATCACTCTGGACCCCACAGTCTGACCCCAGCATGTCCCCAGCCCACTTCTGGGTCCTCCTCCACCTGAGCACCTGGAGAATTACGATGTCATTGATCAAGAGTGTGGGGTCGAAGCCATTCTCAAAGATCCGCTGGACACCAAAGTTCTGCCGGGTTCGCTCGCTCCGCCGCAGGTTGTGCGCACCCAGTACCACCTGCACTGACCGGAAGTTTCTACGGGGTGGGGACAGTAGGTCACCCTGGAGGGCTGGGATAGCAAGGCGACCTCAGAGACCCACCATGCCCTGCCTGGGGTGCAAGAGGAACTCTTCCTCCTGGGGTCTCCTGGCCTTGCACACGTCTGTCATCCCAGCTCTGGGGAGGCTGAGGCAGGAGGATTGCTGTGAACGTGAGGCCAAGCTTGGCTACATGGTGAGTTCAAGCCCAGCCTGAACTACACAGCCAGACTCTGTCTGCTCTCCAGGGTTTGGAGGCCTCCTTGGTAGCCCCTGGGGGCTCAGGATGGGCCCCCAGGGATCTCACCCTGTGGGATTCGTTGAAGTCCCCGGGACTCACAGGCCATTCACACAGTGCGCAGCGGACATCACGAAGTTCCTGGCGATCAGGGTCCCACCACAGAAGTGTCCTCCCCGCTGCTGCAGTGACACCATGTAGGGCCTGGAGTGGGGCCGTGCGGGGCGGCCGCCCACGATCTCCGAGGCCAGTGCAGGGCCTGGGGACACAGGATGAGGAAACTGAGGCACGGGGAGAGGAAGAGTCCAGATCCCTGTCCCCCGCCGAGGCTCAGCCAGGTCTGAGCCCAAGGAGGGCGCTTGGAAGCCCTGGTTTACCAACCCCCACCGTGGGCTCCTCCCCTGGGAACCTCTGTCTTCATTTCTGATTCTCATCCTGGTTGCCACTGCCCACGAGGCCCAGGGCTCCAGGCAGGAGTGGGAAAAGACCCTGAGGACAGGCGGGCAGGTGCCACTCACCGCCCAGCAGCAGGGCCAGCAGCACACGGAGGAGGGCAGGGCTGGGTGCTCGGTGGCCTGGAGTCATGGTGGGGCCAGGATTCCGGGGTCTCTGGCCCACCTTGTCCCACCTCCCCTCTTATAGCCGGGGCTGGGAGGCCGTTGTATTGCCCCATGGGGACTGGTACCCCCCACTTCCTCTTGGGGTGTAAAGCAGCCTGAGGAGCTGGGTACTGCATGGGGCTGGATAGAACCCAGGACTCATAAACTTGAATGTTGGGTAAACAGTCTCTTTCTTCCTTCCTTCTTTCTTTTCTTTTCTTTCTTTTCTTTCTTTGTCTTTTTTTTTTTTTTTAACTTGAGACAGGGTCTTGCTATGCAGTTCAGGATGGCCTTGAACTCATTATGTGGCCACATCTGGCTTCAAATTGATGACAATCCTCCTGCCTCAGCCTCTTGAGTGCTGGGATTTTAGGTGTGCATCACCACGCCTGGCTAATAGTCTTACTGTGAGTCAGCCCCCAGTACTGCCCAGAATGAAGTTATCTACAGATTTAGTCATTGTTAGGGCGCCGTGGTGCTGATCTGTCATCCCATCTGCTCAGGAGGTTGAGGCAGGAAAGACTGCAAGTTGAAGCCCACCCTGGGCAATTCAGCGAAACCCAGTCTCAAAAAAATAAAAAAGTTGGAGGAGCAACTCAGTGGTGAGCACCCACCTAGCTCATGGGAGGACCTACGTTCCCTCCCCAGTGGGACCTTGTGTGCCCCCCCACACAAAGACCATTGTGTATCTGGCATTCGGATGTAAATGGAAATCCTGGGGGGTTTTTGCTGTTTTGTTTTTGGTACAAGATATCGAACTCGGGACCTTGTGCTTCTGAGGCAGGCAACGGAACCATGGAGCTAAATCCCCGGCCCCAAATCCTGTATTTTTGCTAGCCTGGACTTGAGTGCCTTTGACAGGTTCTCTCTTTACCCAGGGCTCTACAGCAACAGCAACAAATGGCTGTGCTAAGCCCTTCCCAGTGCTGTTGCTGACATTTCTCTGCCGGCTCACATTTGAGGTGGAGAAACCGAGGCACACCTAAGGACCAGCCCAGGAAGCATAGCCCCCAGTCACCTCTCTTTACGGGGAGGTACTGGTGATTGAAGCCGAGGTATTCGCCCTGAGCTATATCCCAGGCCCTTTTATTTATTTTCAGACAGCTCTTGCTACTTTGCTGAGTTGCCCAGGCTGGAATTTGTGACCCTCCTGCCTCAGCCTCCCAGAGCATGGGAGCCCCAGGACTTGTAGCTGGATGGCACACCGAGCCTGGCACAGGCCCGACTCCCATCTCCCTCTGGGGTCTTTGGCTGTGGCTCAGCATGGAGAGTGAGTCCCAGGAGGTGGCGTGCCCCTGGCCTCCCTGGGCTATGTTGAGGCCCGTCACTGTCCCCACTAGAGTGGTGGCCTGACCAGTGGCAGGCCAGATGCACCCAGGCCTCAGGGCATCCGCCTGGAACAGAGCTGGAGCCAGGAGGGCACAGGTTCCTGGCAGCCCAGGCTATTACAACACCAAGGTCCCCCCAGTGGGTGGAGCCAGGAGCGGGGAGGGATCCAACGGACATACAGGGCACAAATGGGGACACCAGAGCTGGGGGAGGGCTGGAGTGTTTGTCTCTGGATGCCCCCCCATGCCAACCCCCATAGCTCTCCGGAGGGCTAACTGCCGCCCTCTCTTTCCAAGCCACGTACCCAGCAGGCACCCAGTGCCTACCTCTTGTCCTGGCTTGGTCAGACTTGCTAAGTGGCATTGACTTCTCCCCTTTGGACAGTCCTTTCAAGGCTGCGTTGAAGTCACCATAGAGCATTTAGTAGGCACCTGCTGTATACACCCCCTGCTTCACGTTGGAGTTGCT